TCCATCCATCCATCCATCCATCCATCCATCCATCCATCCATCCATCCATATTTCTCTCTTTCTCCATATAGGCTATCATTTGATCATTCACGCTCTCCATAGTTCTCCTGTGGTGCGAGCACAGGGTGGCGGTTACGCGCCTTTAGCGAGCATGCGCGTTTCCTGTCGCTTGCGCGGTGAATCGTGCCGCCTGCGCTGTGCGGAGATGCAGGGTATGTGATGGGGAAACGCAGCTCGACGTAACACCGGTATTTCCATCTGGAAAACGCTGTTTTGCTGCTGGATCCTCCTCACTCTCCATCTCTCTGTGTGTGCTGTACGTTAACACCCGCCAGGAGAAACACCCACCTTCCCAACTGACAGACGGAATCTCACTATACATCAGCCATTCTCATCCTCCCCTCTCTCATGACAAGGCGCGCACCTCTGGATGACCTAAAAAATAATCTTTAATATCTCTTAAACAAAAGAAGCACAAACAATATTTTTTTCTGCACAAATCTGCACTAACGTTGCACTAACCATTCAGTCTATTTGCAGAGTTTTTTGACGTGGGTGGGGTGTCAGCTTCACGCAGCTGCGCACGAGTCCTATCATGAAAAAAGGTTCATTGTGCGACCTGAGTAACGCGCAGTAACGGGGTGTCTGCAATGGTAACTGCGTTATAGTTACAGTCAAAGTAATTAGTTAGATTACTCGTTAGTAAAACAAGGTAACGGCGTTAGTAACGCCGTTACTTTCAACGCCGTTAGTCCCATCACTGCACCCAAGATGGCGGACCGGAAGCTGGCCAGTGACGTCACTGAAAACCCCCTATTGCTTTAGCTTAATAGACTATAGACAAGGTACGCTTCCTAAAAAAAAATCTATCATCCCCCTTCTTTTTTAACAGTACGTTTATTAAGAGGCTTATACCAATTCTTTATTCTTTTAGATGACGCGAGTTCTGCATCAGATGCTGAAGTGAAGGAAGGATGTGAGTGTGAGGATGTGGGATATGTTGAGCTCATAGAGGCAAAAAGAATTTACTTGCAGCAATTATGTGGGCACCTTCTAGCAGTTTAATCTATAACGGGCAGCCAGAACTATCATTAACTAGGAAGTAAGAAGGCCAATGCATCAATTCAGCAGGTGAATGAAAGAACCATTCATTTGATATAATCTGGTATGATTTTAGCATAAAACCCTTTGCTTCATGCACTAGCACAGATGGAGCCCCACAATTTGGTGCTACGCCCATGGGTGTAAGTCATAATATGGGGCAAAATTAGGTGCTTGGCGCTCTCTGAGTGCTTTTCTGTTTTTTTCCTTTACTTTCTATCTACCTGTTTATGATTTTTTTTTTCAGCAAACATTGATATTTAAACTCTTATGTAATACATAATACAGTTAAGGAAGGTTGTTATGAGAAATGGACATAAACAAAAGTGTGCAAGCCAAATTATCTATGACAGAGGTCACGGATTAGCGGACCGCATCCGGATCAGGACCCACCTGCTGGCTAATTCAGACCCAGCCTGATTTAAAACATTTATAAATTACTGCATGTTGTCAGACGACAGTGTGTAACTTCACTTGCGCCACACCTCCTGTTAATACGGTAAAGCCCTGGGGAGCGTCCAGCTCCAGGCTGCACGTGATCCAAATGAGCCAATGAGCTGTCAGTCTGGGTTGCTGCTGCTGCTACTTTTAGACACAGCAGGCAAACCTGTGGCAAGCCGGGCGATGGGAAAGAAGGAGAAGACCATGAGAAAAAGAGAGCAGAGAAAGTGTGGACTGCTGGAAGAACTGCTGTGAACTGGTGAAAGAAAAGTGAAATGGCGTGCTCAAAGATGACCTTGCACATTTAGAGGATGTTTGGCTCAACCTGCTGCTGTGAAGCAGGATTCTCCACCATGAACAGAATCAAAAATTAATCTGGATCCAGGCTCAAAATGAGCTCCTTGATATGTGCTTGAGAATGGCTTAGTCTCCATTCAAACCCAGGTTTAAAGCCTTGCAGGGCAGCCTAAAGCCCACTGCCAACATTAAGACAGAAAAAAGAAAGGGAAAAAAATGACAAACGGTCAGTTTAGGTGTTTTATAAAATATGTGAATCAGAAGTTTTCTATATACCAAACTGAACGGTTGTTGTTCTCTACTTCAAAAAACACTTTAGATTTTAAAATAAATTAAGAAAATATTTTTTCTAATTAATGCATTACATGGTTGTATTAAGCTTATTTTCTTTCAGTGTAAAATTATATTTAAAGTAACAGAATATAATTAGAAATGTCTCCGGACCTTTACTGGTTGATGATTTTCTTTATTGTGACCCCATTGATTTTTAATTGGTTACTCCTGATGTATGATTTATGATAAGTTTGTGTATCCTCCTAACAATTATAGTAAATAAAAAAAAAAATTGAAAATACAGAAAATGAAGCATTTTGCTCTGTTGTCCATCATAAATAGACTTTAACCCACGAAGGGAAGCTGTTTGTCATATTGCAGCCCAACAGAACACGCTAGAAATACAGCTATTTATGACGGAATGGAGGGCACATGGAAGGAGTCTGCACGACTATGGGGTTAGGGTGAAATAAATAACATGGAAAACGAGTGACTAACACAAGAAAGAAAGTCACAAAATGATCCAGCAATACAGAATAATTTAGTGAGAAAACAATGCTATGACCAAATAGTCACTCTAAGACATACACAAGAAATATATCTGTTTCAGGACTCCTGTCTGTGTGTATGTGTTCTGTGTTTGTCACCCTTCCTCCACCAGGAGGCGCCTGGTTCTGGTCCGCCTCCTCACACACCTGCTGATGGTTTCCTCGTTAACAGAGTGCTCTTAAGCTGCTGACTGCCACTACCTCAACGCCAGAGTGTTTGCCAGTTTAGGGTACTCTAGCTAAGCTGAGTTTAGCTGAGTCAAACTGAGTTCTTGTCAACCTGAATTTTAACATTGTTTGTCTTTTGCCTCTCAGCAGGAAGTCATCCTGCAAACTGGATTTTTCGGACCTTCTCTCCCTGGAAGGATCAACTAAGCTTCAAACTGAGCTGGGAGTCAAACAGGAGGTTTGGATCCACTTTCCCCAAGAGATCGTTTGAGCTTCACACTGAGAAAGGGATTCATCTCCATTACGACCCGTTCAAGTACTGCAGGAAATCTGAGTGGCAGTCAGTTTCTCCGTTCACCTACTAACAACCACATTCTGGGTAAACCCTGTCCACCCTCCACCGAATCAGACAAACACTGGAACTACAGCATACAGACTGGAGTTAAAGATTCAACAACTTCTCTGGAAACGTGAGTCAGCAACCAAATCCTCTTCTCCAAGTTCACAAGTCAAATTTCCCACTGAGCCTGAACTAACCGCTGTGTATTCCCCTCACTTTTCAGTTCCGGTTGAGCAGTGTTCACAGCAACACTTCTCTCTGCGTTATCTCTTCAATAAAACCTGTTAAACCTTTTCCCCTGGACTCCCTGTTTGGTCTTCTGCATTTGGGTCTGAACTTTAGTAAATCATGACAATCTGAGCAAAAGGAGAAGAACTTGCACCCAGACATTTTGAATTGAGAAAGTTTCCTGGATGGGAAGCGAAGCGTCTTCAAACATGAAAAATACCAGTGGATTGTTTTTTTTTTTATTTAACATTTTGGAATAAAACAATAGACATTTTTCCTTTTTTTAATTTTCATTGTTTTGCACAATTATAACCTTTATAATCAGTTAAACAACTTCAGGTCTGTCGTTAACTGACAATATTAGGCAACAAACACTTGTCACACACAACAAGCTTGGCAAGACTCTTGATCAGCTTGCTTTGAGATTTGCTTTTGATCCAAATTTATTGGCTGAATTGCATCAGCATGTCATTCAGCTCCTTGGAGAGGCCTGGTAAGGAGCCATTTGGTTAATTTAGGTGTGTTGAGGCTGGGATGAGATCGCTCAAGGAGTGAAAATGGACACTCCTCCCTTGGAGTCCCTTGAATATCTTTTATTTATTTCATTGCTTCTAGTTTTTACCAATACAAGTCAAGTGAACCGATTTGATGGGAGCTACATGTTTTTATATTTAAGCTTACAGGAAAACATCAGTATTTTTGTCTTCAAAATTACTTTAAAAACAAAAACTTCCCATAATTTTTATACAATTTATTTTTATAAACTCCTTTAAATGCTTTAAAGATAAGACATTTTTGAGTGTGTTAAATGAAAGCTCCTCACTGGAACTCCCAAACAGTTTCTCATTTCAAATAAAATACAATCAAACAGTGAACATAATGGTATTTAGGGTTCTGTTGACAGGAAGTAATAACTCACAAGTGTGGCTCAGTGAAAATGAGAAGAATCACTGTTTTGGGAGATGATTAGAGGTTACATGTTAAGTGAATGAAAAAAAAGGTTCCTTAACCAAGCCAAACACCTAAATTTCTCATTCCCAGGTGGCACTGTGGACTAATGCCAACCGAAACTGCCAATGTGTGGCTTTAAAGCTTCATTCTGAACAAGCTGGAACTTGTGAAATCCCCCCCAACCCTGAAACCTGTCAATGCTGTTGCTTTACAAGTTTCTGTTAAATCAACGTACCTCTACCATTTTTTTCTTTTCTTTTTTTTTTTGCAGCCCTCCTGCTCGTGAACTGGAGGACTTCAGTCATATTCCCTTTGCATGCACGGGCAATTGATCACTGAAGACTGGATACTTTTTGGAAAGGCTTTATTCTGCTCATGTAAACTTGGGATCTGTCTAATTGCCTTGCCTCTTGAACGAAACCCTGTGCTGTTTTTTTGTTTGTTTTTTCTCCACGATACAGAAAAAAACTACATTCAATAAAAATGAAATTAAACTCCTAAAATCAAATGGTGAACCTGTTCTTTCCAAAGTTAGAAAATGCTAGATTTATCAAAATTCTTTTTAATACAGAGGGTTTCCTTAAAGCAGGACTCTTCCTTTCTTTTAACTTTCACACAGTAAATTTGCCGTAACGGGATGTAGGCTTGCTTACTGACAGAGGAAGGAGACCTGTGGTCCACCCCACTTCTGTGTCTGTCCTCCACTTGACCCCCTGTCATGACAGGCTGAAGGTGTTCTGACAGGGAGAGAAGATTCCATCAGCAGCTGACTAAGCTACCTCCATGGGCTGCAGCTTTTCTCTTTAAACAAACAGACCATGTGATACTGTGCCACCATGTATAGACAAGCCTGATAGAAAACTGGCCATTATGTTTGCCCCACCTGCTGTAGTTGCTGTCATTTTGCAGAGCAACAGTGCTAACACGTTCACCACAATGCAGCCTGATCCAGCATTTTCATTTTTCATTTTTCACATGTCCGTTGCTCTCTGTCTTTACCTTAGGCCTTAATTGTCATACGGCATTTAGGGAATGGGGTTTTGATTACACACAAAGGGAATATTTTTGCACTTTCGACTTAGAAATACTTCTACTTCTGCTTTAAGCTTATGTTAATTTATGTCTTAGACTTTGTCTAAGTCTAAGTCAATGCTGTTGACTGTTCTAGTTAAAAAGTTCAACTAAAACATAATTAGTTCATTTTTTTATTTTCTTTGGTCCAACTGCTTTTAATGTTCTTTCTTGTTTCTGCATTTTTTTTTCCTACTTGCTTTGATTCTGTTTTATCTTCCTGTATTTTAATCATGTAAAGCACTTTGCATTGTCTTTGTACTGAATTGTGCTATACAAATAAATTTGCCTTGCCTAAGTCATAAATGAACTATAGCATAAATAAAAACAAAATTTCATTTTTACAGCTCTCACAACATTTCCATTTCTTAACCCTTTAAAGCCCGATCCAAGAATAAAAAAAAACAGAAAATTCCTTTTTTTTTTGTTTGAAGTCCTTATTTGGCCTTTAAACAAAATATGTAAAAAGAAAAAACAGAAATACATTTTTGATATCAATAATTTATTACTATGCGACAAGTCAAGATTATTTTTTGTGTAGTCTTCTGCCTTCTGTTATCAGGTATATCTGATTGTGTACAATAGGATTTTGAGCAAAGTTTTTACCATTAAATTATGCAAAAGATGTCAGACGAAAAACATTTCAGAAACCGTATGTATCAAATATGATACATTTGGCATTATTGGGTTAAAGTGCAGCAGTGATCAAATGTAAATGTAAATGTAAAAGCGCATAGATATGGAAGTTCACAGCATTTAATATTATATATAAAACATATAGAACATTAATCATCTGTCTAAAAGACATTAGAGCATGGGCATGTCAAAACTGACTTTTTAACGTAAAGCGTTCCATGTTTTGTACTGACCATGAAACATGTGGAACATTTAGGGAATCTGTTCGTATTTTCTGTCCAACTATTATTTTTCAATAAGAACAATAAGAGCAATGACAATGAACGCATAAATTTGGCTGCGATCTTTCAGACCTGGGCACAAAAAAAACAATGGGGAGGACTGCTCGTTGGAACGGGTTTTGTTTTGATCTTAACCCTCTGGTGCATAGTGGTCACTGTAGTGGACAGCTACTACAAAGTAAATATCTCTTTAATTCTATGGTTTCTATAGTGAAACCTTACTGCCCAGCAAACACATATACTGTAGGCTCCCCATTGTAAGACCCTTCCTAAGTACACTTCAGGAGACATTCAAGGCAGCAGCAGATCCTGAGGAATTTCAGTCACTTCAGTAAGCTATGAGTGTCATTGGTTTCCTTATTCGGTTCTTAACATTGTGCCTTTATAATGTAAAAAATTGAACAAAACATGTTGAAATATTTTTCAAAGCATAAAATGAATCAATGGTCTGCATTTTTTACAACAGAATACTAGATCATTATTTTTTTGTAATAAATTCATAATATTTTATATTGAGTTCTCATGTGCGCATAGTCCACTCCAGTGGACATATCTGTAACTTCATGAAACAACAATATTTTTGGAAAAAAAAGTTAAACATTTTTTTTCATGTCCTAAGAATAATGGTGGTTAAATTTCAAGAGAAAGCACCACAATACAGGAAGTAGGGAGGATAGTTTTGATAGGAACCTCTTCATTAGAGGAAATCTGTCTGCTGAAGGTTTCCATTTTGGTGTTTTTGAAACTTGGGTTGTTAGAGATTATGAATCTGAATCTGGTAAAAATATGAGACCTTTGGCCTAACTGGATATTTACAGAAGCAGCCATTCAGAATGGCCCCTCCCAGTATAACGGCAGCCGAATGGCAGCCAACTTCCCTCCAACTCCCAGCAAAATCCTCTCCAACTTAGAGCCACTGCACTTCTCCTGCGTGCGCATAATTTTTTACTCTGACTCCACCCTTTCACTGAATTACAGGGTCTGACCAGGAGATGATGCGTCTCTTTAGATGTTAATCTCCACAAATTATGACAGAAAGAATATTTTAGTACAAAGATTGATGTTTATAAAGGCATTGTAGGGGACCAGCCAAGGACCCGTCAAGGAAAGTGGGGAATTTTTTAATGGATATTTCTGTATGTTCCATCAAAAGCATAACCCATAAATTTAAGGTTGAAACATCAAGCAGAACTGGGCTTGATGAGAGCGTTTTTTTGTTTGTTTTTTTTTACCGAGGCTGACTGTCGCTTATGGAGATAAAAGCAGGCATACAAAAAGAAGAAGATATACAAAAGATAACAACCACAGATTGCTCTGTTCACGAAAGACACAGTCAGGCAGATGAGCTCCGAGCTAGTTCCCATTTCAGTGGATGAAAGAGAGCACATACAGCTAGTCACAATAAAAGAAACAGGACCACACTGAAAAACAGGCCAATTTCAAACAACTATAAACAGAGATGTTAAAGGCAGCAGCACAGCAGATATTTCATTACAGGGTGGAGTCACACCCACAGGGAACTGACCAAATGAAGCTACTATGATCAGAAAAAGCAGAGAGACCATAAAGTTATGAGTGGAACTTATAATAAATACTTATTAAATACTCAGCATGCCCCATTAGTATTTACAACTGTTTTAACGTGTATCCCATGCACACACACAAAAAAAAAAAATTAATGTGAGATGGGCATACCCTTCAAAAAACACCAAAAAGTAAGTCATTAAATTTTTTGAGGGACGTGACTAAAGGGATACATGCCCGATGAGGTAGTTTAAAGTCTATTTTTGGTACAAAACTAAAGGGATAAACAGGTATTGACATCTGACATTCTAACAGCGGCACAGGTTCAACACAAAAACAGGTTCAATATCCAACACTGAGAATTCAAAGCTGAATTAACGTTTCCTTTTCTAGCCAAAGACGTCGCTGACATATAGGTTAAATAATGAATGTTGATTCAGCTGCTGTAAAATCACAGACAATCGGTGCAGACAGTAAATAAAATAAACTGTGGTTCGATGTTCCTTTGCTGTCTGAGCGGCTCACTGGGATGAAATCATTCTTCATAAAAAAAATACATGTTTTTCTCATCTACTATTTAAAATACTTGTCACCAACATGTGTAGCTTGATGTTCTGAGATTGATGGACTCTAATGGCGTCTGTTGCCTGTGTGAAGAGCAGCACATATTCCCAAAACCTCAAGCTACATTTATTATTAGATAGTCACGCTTTTCATATATAAAACCCCTCGCATTTTTGTGGCAGAGCTAGATTGTCATCCTACAGTTAGTTTTACTTTAATTTATTTGCTATATATCAATTAGGGCAAAATATAAATATAAAAACAATACAGAGGACATGACCTTGGTGTCCTCAGTGGTAGTGACAGCCCTGTCTGAGGCCATGAGAATATCATTAGTGACTTTCACCAGTGCTGTTTCAGTGCTTTGATGAGCTCTAAAGCCAGACTGAAACTCTTCAAAAAGTTCAGCACAGTTTGAAGGGTCACACACTTGTTTAGAAATTATTTCTAAACAATTCTCAGGAATTTTAGACAAGAAAGGAAGATTTGATATAGGTCTATAATTGACCAAGTCATCTGGGTCAAGAGATGGTTTCTTAAGTAAGGGTATTACAATCATCTTAGAAGCCTGAGATACATATCCATGTAACAGTGATAGATTAATCACATCTAAAATAGAGGAGGAGATCAGAGAGAATGTTTCCTTAAATAACTTGGTTGGAACCGGGTCTAAAAAAGAAGCTTAAAGGAATAGTACACCCAAAACATGATTAGCCTTCATTTTCTACTCACCCCCATGCTGAACAACACTCTGGAGTACTTTTTTGATATCTCAAATGCATCTGGAGATCTGGGAGGCTTCTTGCTGTCTGCTGACATTCAAATAATGGAGGTCTATGGTGCCCGAGGCAGAAAGGACCATAAAAGTCCACAAAAAACGTGTCAATATTCCTCCATACTGCTCATCCAATGTATTCCAAGTGTCCTGAGTGGGTAGCGTCCATAATTTACTCGAAACGAAGTCATTTAGAATGTTTTTAGAGCATAAACATTAGTGTATAGGATTTCCTAAAAGCGCGTTCACGACGCTACGGAAACCGCGGCAGACCAAATCAGATGAAAGTGCGCTACCCTGCTAACGTGCGTTGTGTGGAGCACTCATTTTAATCAATGAAAACTGTTCTACATCTACCGCTAATCTTTATTTTTCTGCGTTTGGATAAACTATAAAATTCAAATAATCTTAACAGAGCAGAAGAGAAAGGAGCATGGATGTAGTTTACTATCCTTTCTGGAGTTCTGGAAAAGAACTGCACCCACCCCTACGTCAGACACACCCACCTCCGAATAAAGGGTTTGGAGCAAAATTGATTAATTTGTAATTACATAATATGATTTCAGGCAGAGGAGTCCAACTTAATCAGTAGAAGAGAAGTTAGTGACAGGAGCAGCTTTTTGAATGTAGTGCTCAAGGAATCTGTGATAGATTAGTGGCACCTAGGAAATATTGCAATTTTTTCCTCATACTTGGACCCAATCAGTACAGTTTGCATCTATTCCGGGTTTTTTCTTGACCTGCCCATACTTGATGATGAATCCTAATACTCTGACAGATGGGATGGTTAAATACTTTCTTCTTAGCCTTGATGAACAGATGTTTTTGTGTGTTTGTAATTGAATGACTATGTGGATATGTGATAAAGATATGCTTTTTCGAAAATATCTAGATGATCTCCATAAAAAAGAAAAACTGATCCAGAAATTAATGCA